GGCTGCGTAAACAAAGTGATTTAATTCTTAAATTTCAGAGAATTGAGCAGTGAAACTGCAGGGGTGAGACTTGTACACCACAACTGCTTCATTAAGCTAAAGTTGTTTTGGTAACTATAGTGTCCCTTTAAGTGTTGCAACATGTGCTAACAAAGCTATAAAGACCTGTCCCTCTCTGTTAAAAAGGCATTGTATTTGGACATATTAAATGTGGGAAGGCATGTATACCGTGTAATAAACAGCAGGTAAGGTACATTACTTACAATATGCATGTCAGTACCACAGTCATCCCAGCGTGTTTGTAGTAACACTATAGTATTAGTACTGTTGATAACATTGCACGCGGGGTTGCCAAGATACAGTGATGATTCAGGAAAAGACATCATTTGCAAATAAGACTTCAGGATAGTTATTCCAATAACTCCCACTTCACATGTGATATTGCTTGAGTCCTTTAGTGATGGATCTGGTAAAATCATTGTCAAAGGCAGCACAGATGAAATGAAGATGGCACAAAAAATATAGTAAGATTATATTTAATTTAGAAGTGGTTATCTTTATACTCGTCTTATTATTGTACAAACACATTTCCAAAAATTAGTATTTATTAAACACATTTGGAACAATGTAACCATAATCACTACTTGACTAAACCTGATCAGGATGTAAATTCAGGACAACATTCTTAAAATGTATTGATTCCATTAATTTCACTGTCTGTCTCTCTGTCTGTCTATCAAATCACATTTATCTGTCTATCTATCTATCTATCTACTTATCTATCTGTCTATACATATATATCTACTTATCTAGCTAAATGTCCACCCCTTATCCAAATGTGTAATAATCCCATTATTGTGCTGTCAAATGAAAAAATATCTAACCGTGGTGCAGTCTGCTCTTTTTGTTCTACCTTAAACCCAAATGATTTAAGAACCATATATATCAATAAACACATAGAGGAAATAAATGAGCATAACTAACAACTCATTCCTATTTACACTGTAAAATAAATATTACATACCCGCTTGTACTTTAGGAGGACTCTCAGCAATGATATTTTTGGTAGTCACTGGTTTTGCAGTGGTGGGGACAATGTTACCATCTTTTGTAGTTACTATCAGAGGTTGACTGGTTGTATGTGCAGTAGTAGCGTCAGTGTGAATATGAATTACACTTGTGTTCCTCACAGTAGGTCCAGAAGAACTCGTGTTGTTGATTTTATTTATTGTAGGGATTGTATCAGTACTTGATGATTCCTGTCGATGAAATTCTTTTGTGAAATGCATTGGGAACTCTGTTGTTGCATTTAGTTCACCAGTGTTGAAAGAGTTGTCTGAAGAAGACGTTTTCATTTCTTCTCTGTGTGTTACGGGGTCTGTAATTAATAAACTTGTATTTGATGTTGTGAGGGTATGGTTTCCTGTTACAGAATCTGGCATTGTATTTAATTCCCTAATGCCAATCGAGTGGATTGGTGGAACACTTGTCTTCATTTCCTTTTCTTGTGTTACAAGGCGTGGTATAGGTAATACTGTACTTGATTCTTCTGGGACATCAACTTTCGTTGCTGAATATGTTGAGAATGTTGGAACATCTCCTGAGTGTTGGTATGGGTTTTTAGTAGACAATAATAGTGAATCATTTGTGGCTGCAAGGAACAAAAAAAAGACCACTGATAACTTAACAAAACACTACATAAAATATAGTAAGCTTGATTCAATTGGTAGAAGAAAGGTGTGTTCTATGATGCAACCTCACCTCTGTATATAAACAGATATACAGAAACATCTAATGATGTACCTGTTTTTAACAGAGAGAAAATGCTCTTATTGATTGTAAATGGAGAGGATAACTCCATGTGAATCCACTTTCTGGAGTGGAAAACACTTTTTAAAACATACTTCAAACACGTTGTGCAACATGCCATCTGTAGACCAGCCTGATACAACTCTTCTGTAGACTAATAGTTAAAGGGACACTATAGTCTATAGGTGTGGCTAGGACTTCATAAACAGAAGAAACAAAAGTGTTTTTTTTTAATAAAAATTCTTTATTTTTGAGTCTTCAAAAGAAGAGTTTTTCTTTTTTTTTGTTTTTTTTGTAACGTTATGGGGTACAGAAAGGAAAAAGGGGTGCAACATGTTACAATTATATTGGTTACATTTGTACTCATTAATATATCCCTGTTTACATTCATTGTTTCAGTTGTCCAACATGTAACTCCTGTTGCCCTGGGTCTGGAAGGGTCGGGTGGGTAAGATGGATGGGGGTGTCCCCTCTGTTTGGTGTAACCACCGTTTACCCTGAGTTTAGGGAATGGGCCCTAGGCGATGGGTTTTGGTGATGCGCTGTGAGGCTCAAACCTGGCCTTCGCCTAGTTCATGGGCCTTGTGAGGTGTCGTTGTCGTACTCTGTCTGTTGCGTTGTGCTGTCTCTGTCCTCTGGGGGTGAGGTGGTGCCTCTGGGGTCGGGGGTTTAGGGGTTTAGAACTTGGAGAGTGTCCTTGTGTCGTAATATCATGTGTGATATCTTGTGTGTGGTTGAGCTTGTGGAGTTCACCTGAGTTAGGTCAGGTGGTTGCTTGTAGTCGTGATGTTTGCAAGTTTGTGTAATTGTTTTCTGTTGGTTGTGGTGTTTTGATGTGTGGTGTGGGTGGGTATGGGGTAGGGGTGGAATGTGGCAAAGAGGGGGGGGCAGTTCTCTCTCCCCCCCTTCCCCGCTTGCGGTGTCTTACAATGCCAACCAGGGGTCCCAGATCTTATGGAAAGATCTAGTGTTCTTGTGTATTAGTGCGGACAATTTGTCCATCTCCATGGCCTCTTTAATCTTTCTCTGGGCCTCCGAGGCTGTTGGGATTTCTGGGCTGCCCCAGTGGGTGGCTATAGTTCTACGTGTTGCTAAGGCCACCTTTGCTACTAGTTTGTTTTGTGCTCGGGTCAGATTTTCTAGGGGCCTGGACAGCAGCCAGGTCCATGGGTCTAGGGGGATGTCCGTTTGTAATGCTCTCGAGGTGGCAGCGGCCATCTCTTTCCATATTTGAGTTAAGTGTTGACAATGCCACCACACGTGAATGTATGTTCCCTTTTCGCCACATCCCTTCCAGCATCTGTCCGAGTCTGTGCGTTTCATTTGTTTGAGTCTCAGGGGGGTGAGGTACCACCGAAGCAGGGTCTTATACGCCTGCTCTCTGTGGTTAACACAGATAGTCACTGTCGCTGTTGCTTCCCATATGTCAGCCCAATCCGAGGGGTCCCCAGGGGGACCAAGATCCCTTTCCCAGGCCTTTATGTAGGAGAAGGCGTCAGGTGGGGCTTTAATAGTTATGAGGTTGGAGGTTTGGCCCGAAACAAAAGTGTTTTAACTCCTAAATGGCAGAGTATTGAGGCATGATCTATACATAAAAACTGTTTTATTAAGCTAAAGTTGTTTTGTGACTATAGTGTCCCTTTTGAATAGTTATTTTTTTGTAGTTTTTTTTATTTAATGAAATTTTTTGTAACTTGAAAATTATTTTTTGTAATTTAGTTAATGTAAACAAAAGTAATATTTTCTATTATAATTTAATATATAGGACCAGTTTATGGCTATTAACATTATGTATTAATTTCAATTCTTCTTTTTCCTTCTTCTTTTTTGGACTTTAGGGCAGTTCATGCCCATTTTTTGGACTTAAATTGAGACTTTGAATGGAGAAAGGGCGGATCTGATGAAGCCAAGCATACCAGCAAAACGCATCATCACGCTCTGATGTAATCATGCTTGGCAGCCGTAAGCCCCGCCTTCTGGAAGAAATACAGCACAACCTGAAGGCTTGTGTAGTTGGTGACAGACAAACGGACCAGAGGGGAGCCAAACCAGAGTGGCAAGAGAGGGTTCTTACCTGCCGGCAAGCTGTTTTTAACAGATTGGGAATAAATGTGTTTATCTACACGGCAGTCTCAAGTTTTCATGTACCTTATGGAATGACTATAGTTAAGAGCAGACTCGACTCAATATCATTTTTTAGATACTGCTTCTTCTTTTTTGTCTAATTTATTTTGAGAATGCTCATTGAGACATTGTGGAATTCTCTTTTGTGAGTATACTGTTCAGTTGTTTTAAGCACATTCTGTGATAGCACTCCAAGTTTGCACAGAGTTGCACATAATGTGTTTTTGCACAGTGCATGTTTGTGCTTTTCTTCACATGTTGTATTGTATTACACGATTGTATGTACATTTCTAAGGTTTACGTATTTGCACTTTAAATTTTATTGAATATTATTATAATCCTAAACACAGCACACTTTATTATTTGTTTTATTGTTTATGTATGTTTTTTGAGCTTTTTCACATTATAAAGTGCAACTTTCTTATTGTTATTTTTAAATATTTACTCACTACTTTAGCGCCATATTTTTACTTGCTGTTTTTTTTTTGTTTTCTATAATAGTGGAACAATCCTTTTATAGGCTTTACGTCCTTCCTGTAGACAAATGTGGAACTACCCTCCTGTAGACCCGTGTTGAACACCCCTGCTGTAGACCAATGGTTATATAACCCCTGCTTTAGAACAATGTTTGGTCTCCCCTCCTGTTGACCAGTTTTGGACATCCAACCCTTACACCAGTGTTGAACACCAATCCTATAGACCAATGATTGTATACCACTGCATTAGAACAATGTTTGGACTCCCCTCCTGTTGACCCGTGTTGGACATCCCACCTTTACCTCAGTGTTGAACACCCCTCCTGTAGACCAGTGTTGAACACCCATCCTATAGATTAATGGTTATATAACCCCTGCTTTAGAACAATGTTTGGACTCCCCTCCTGTTGACCAGTTTTGGACATCCAACCCTTACACCAGTGTTGAACACCCCTCCTATAGACCAATGGTTGTATACCCCTGCTTTAGAACAATGTTTGGACTCCCCTCCTGTTGACCAGTGTTGGACATTCAACCTTTACACCAGTGTTGAACACCAATCCTATAGACCAGGCTTCCTCAAACTCCAGCCCTCCAGATGTTGTTGAACTACAACTCTCATGATTCCATGTATGAAATAGATAGGCTGAGAATCATGGGAATTGTAGTTCAGCAACATCTGAAGGGCCGGAGTTTGGGGAAGTCTGCTATACCCCAATGATTGTATACACCTGCATTAGAACAATGTTTGGACTCCCCTCCTGTAGACCAGTTTTGGATATCCCTCCTATAGACCAATAGTTGGACATCCCTGCTTCAGTCTGAGGTAAAATTAAAGACTTACTTTCACAGCTTCTTCCAGGTCTGGCCCCGTTTGTATCAACGTATGGCTTGACACATTGACAGGTGTAGGATACATTCAAGTTTTTGCATTCAGCATTCTTGTCACAGTCATTGTTCAGGGGTGACAAACACTCATTGAAATCTGAAATCAAATTAAGATAATAAAGCATTATGCCAGCTGTCACTAACGATTCATGGTCTAGAACAGGTGAAGGCAACCTTTGAAACAACAGATGTTATGCACTACAGCTCCCATAATGCGAAACTCACTTATTCACTAAACAGCAATTTTAAAGTCCAAAAATGTAATAGTATTTTTTTTATATATATAATTACTTTTTGCCATATGGGGCCCAGATCCCTTACAGGTGTACTGCCTTTGCCCCCTTGATGGCAGCCCGGCATTATGCTGGAAAAGCATCAGGGACATGTGGTCAACATCTGTAGTGCCAAGGTTGCCTGCTCTAGAATATTCATTGATGGTGTAACCTTACCTGTAATTACAATAGATTCTGGATCTATGGCAAACACTGTACTATTGATCATAGGTAAGAAGGATGAGTATGTGACATTATTTAGACATGTTGTGTCATTGACAATTATGTAAAAGTTAACTACAATGCTTCCAGCAGTCAGAGATTCGACTTTCACATTCAACATCTCTGCAGGAATATCTTTAGACATAGATTTTTTGACCTGAGTAGACAAAAATACACAAAAATCATATTCCTTATTTTTGATATTCGAGTGATAATTCAGCATGGCAAAGATTATAGTTCAAAATAATGAAGGTTGTATAGAACAATAGTAAAATACAAAATATTAGAAGAAACATGGAAAAATAGAACAATTTATTGGACCACAACTCTTTGGAAGGACAAGCTTGGACTTATTGGACCGACAAGCCTTTGAGAGAAGCTGTCTTCATCTAGTGTATTCATTCAGGGCAGTAAAATGCAACACTTGATAAACATGTGATACTGGCGAGATGATTGGAAGGATTGCTAGACTGAAACAGTATTAGTAGATTTTTTAAAAGTGTTATTCTTCACATCTGGACAAATTCAGCTACTTAAAAACCAATGTTTGAAAACATCATCTATGGCCAAGATTAATTCCAAGATTAGACTGCAAATGTTCAAGAAGCATTGCTACGTGGCCAGGGCCAGCCTTAGGGGTGTGCAAGCTGTGCGACCGCACAGGGCGCCATGGAGCAGGGGGCGCCATGTGGCCAACACAGCTCACACATGGCCAGCCGGGAATAAAAAAAAATTGTTGTGGGGGCGGAGCTTCCCGGGTGGCGGGGGGCGAAGCCAAAAGTGCCGGATAACTGCTGCAGGGGAAGCAGGAAGGAGTCCCTGCTTCCCCAACAAACAGTCTCCGGGAGCTGCACTGCCTTCACAATGAACAGAGGTAACTATGTATGACTGTCTGCCTGTGTGTCTGTGTGTGTGTATGACTGTCTGTCTGTGTCTGTGTATGACTGTCTGCCTGTGTGTGTCTTTGTGTGTTTGTGTATTACTGTCTGCCTGTGTGTGTGTGTGTATGACTGTCTGCCTGTGTCTGTCTGTGTGTATGACTGTCTGCCTGTGTGTGTGTGTCTGTGTGTCTGTGTGTGTATGACTGTCTGCCTGTGTGTGTGTGTGTGTCTGTGTGTGTTTATGACTTTCTGCCTGTGTGTGTGTGTGTGTGTCTGTGTGTGTATGACTGTCTGCCTGTGTGTGTGTGTGTGTCTGTGTGTGTGTGTGTATGACTGTGTGTGTGTCTGTTTGTATGACTGTCTGCCTGTGTGTGTGTGTGTGTGTGTGTGTGTGTGTATGACTGTCTGCCTGGTGTGTGTATGACTGTATGACAGTGTGTGTGTCTGTGTGTGTGTGTGTGTGTGTGTGTATGACTGTCTACCTGTGTGTGTGTGTGTGTGTGTGTGTGTGTGTGTGTCTGTGTCTGTGTATGACTGTCTGCCTCTATATATGTGTGTGTGACTGTCTGCCTGTGTGTGTGTCTGTGTATATGAATGTCTGCCTGTGTGTGTCTGTGTGTGTGTATGACTGTCTGCCTGTGTGGGTGTCTGTGTCTGTGTGTGTATGACTGTCTACCTGTGTGTGTGTATGTATGACTGTCTGTGTGTGTTTATGACTGTGTGTATGACTGTCTTCCTGTGTGTCCTTGTGTGTGTGATTGTGTGTCTGTGTGTATGACTGTGTGTCTGTGTGTGTGACTGTCTGCCTGTGTGTGTGACTGTCTCTCTGTCTGTGTTTGTGTGTGTGTGTGACTGTCTGCCTGTGTATGTGTGTGTGCTGCTGTCTGCCTGTGTGTGTGTGTGTGGCTGTCTGTGTGTGTGGCTGTGTGTGTGTGTGTGCGTGGCTGTTCTGCCTGTGTGTGTGGCTGTTCGCCTGTGTGTGTGGCTGTCTTCCTGTGTGTGTGTGTGTGACTGCCTGCCTCTGTGTGTGTGTGTGTGACTGCCTGCCTCTGTGTGTGTGGATGTCTTCCTGTGTGTGTGGATGGCCGCCTCCCTCTCTGTGTGTGTGGCTGTCTGCCTGCATGTATGTGTGTGGCTGTCTGTGTGTGTGTGTGTGTGTGTGTGTGTGTGTGTGTGTGTGTGTGTGTGTGTGACTGTCTGCATGTAAGTATGTGTGTAAGACTGTATGTGTGGCTGTGTGTGTGTGTAAAACTGTATGTGTGGTTGTTCGCCCAGGGGCGTATCTAGAGCATTTGGCACCTTTCGGGCGGATCTCTGTGCTTGGCACTCCCCTAACCCTCCCCTAAAACCTGTAAAAAAAATGTTAAAGGTTTTATTTTTTTTTTTTTTACAATTTGTAAACTTTGCAAAACCGCTGTCAGCCCCTCCTACAAAACCTTTGTCCTGTCCTGCCCCTCCTACAAAACCTCTGTCCTGTCCCTTCTACAAATCCTGTACTGCCTCGTCTACAAAACCCCCGCAACCCCCTTCCACAAATCCCCTGCTTATCCCCCCTTATAAAGACTCCTGTCCCAATACAAAACCCCCGCCCCCTTCTACAAAAATCCCTGCAGCCCCACACACACATTTACAGACAGTCACACACTCAGTTACAGACAGTCACACACTCAGTTACAGGCAGACAGTCACATACAGTCACAGGCAGACAGTCACACATACACATTTCCTCCGTGCGGCCAGTTTATCAGCTGTTTGCTTGTGTGAGCTGTACTGGCCGCACGGCACCCTAACTACCATGGGACACTGTGCAGCCACAGCTCACACAGCCTCCTCCAGCCAGGGCGGTGCAAGGATTTTTGCCACGCTAGGCAAAAGTAAAGTTTGCCGCCTCCCCCCATGTGACATCACAATGCCCCACCCATATGATTTGCCATGTTAACTAACGCCAGTGCTGCAGTGCCGCCGTGTTTACATTAAAAGGCCTGCAGGGACAGGCTATAGACACAAGAACCACTACATTAAGCTGAAGTGGTTCTGGGGACTATAGTGTTTCTTTAATGTGAGGTAAATTAGAGCTTAGTGCCATGAATAATATACTAGATTGCCTACTTACAACCAGATGAGGATGATGATGGGCTCAAGCTGCAGTCTGGCTCCACTGGTCTGGTGTAGAACAGGCTCTCTGGAGGCGGTTTGTAACTGTGGTCACAAAAATCAATGTTCTGGGAGAACGGGAAGCAGCTGCATTTTTTGGGGGTCCTTTACACAGCTCAAGGTCTGGATCCCAGGGTCCACCTTCATGTTCCACCAATGAGTTTGTTCACAGGGGGTGGAGTGTGTAGGGGATGTCCTGATATGTGTAAGGAATGCATTGTGTGAAATTGTGTTTGTATGTGTAAGGACTGCAAGGTGTGTTTCTGTGTATGTATGGGATGCATTGAATGTGTGTAAGGGGTGCATTAAGTGTGTGTAACGAATGCATTGTGTGTTTCTTTGTGTGTAAGGGATG